TTTAACATTTTGCCAGATCCACTTCTCAGACTTCACCCTACAACCTTCATCTAATATTACCTAAAGTTTTTGTTTGGATTCTCAAAATCACACTTGCTCAAGAAAAGTTTAAATCTTTATCAGAATTTCCTAAGAGGCTTTCCTATCTGGCTTTTGGAGCGGGAAGGTGCTAATGTGTTTTGTGGTGGTGTGTTTTCTTTCCTTGCATCAATGTACAGTAAAGGGAATAGTGTATTAGTGACCAAATCAAAAATAGTGGGGGTGTTTGGTAAAACATCAGGAACCTTCAAAGGGAATAAATCATACCCTATTATCCTTCAGCCCACAAAGTTAAAACAGCTTTTGCTTTCAATACAACAAGCAAACATTTAACTGCTCCCCACAGATCTCAGAGTTTGAAGCTGGCCACATTTCAATAAAATGTTGTTTAAAAAAAGAAAATATTGAGAAAATATATAGCAAGCAACATTCAAGCAACCTGAATCACATTCATCTGGTAAGAGGCAATAATTACAGTCAGTCTGAAGTGAAATCCCAGATTTAAACACTCTCAAATTAATACATTTTAAAAACCTGAGGCAACAGACAGAACAACTTGCCTGCATTTAGCAGAGATTGAGAAGCAGACAACGGCCAAATGCTGCATGCCCAGAACTCACACCAGCAGCGATGATACAGGCTGCCAAGCTGAGATTTGCAGTCCTGAGAAGATCTGGGATATAAGCTACTTAACCAAGTGCACCTCTCTCCTATGCTTCAGCATGGGATTACCTGAGGTGCTTCTGGGGACAAAGGCAGGCTGCAATTACTAAAGCAGGGGAGCACAAATGATATTCTTTCGGCTTACACAAACTGCCATGACCCAGGGGAGAAAGCACTGGCAGACAGAACAGAGAAAGACCTGGGAGTCTGTCATGGTTTTTTTTCTGAGCACAGCGATTTAATGGATAAAACTAGAGAGAAATAAATAATGGCACAAACTGCAAGTGAAAACCTGTCTACAACTCATTTCCAGTTGAGCTGTGAACATCCAAGTGATTCATATAACACAGATGAGTTTGCAAACTTTTAAGCACTTCCCTGGTAAACAAGCTGAAACCAAACTCTCCACCCATTACAAACTTATATGCACATGTCAGTCATGGCTCCGGCTCCTGAAGCAACAGATCTTATACAGCATTGCCATGGCAGAAGACGTTTTTGGCTTTCCCGAGGGGCATGTTACAAAGGGAGCTCCAAATGTCTTTAATGAATAACAATGTAATGACTAACATAGCTCGATGTCTAAGAAGCAGCTGTATAATAATGATCATGTTAAGAAACACATCTGCATGGCAAGGGCATAGCCCAGTTGCCAATGTGGGGACCGATCTCCTGACTATGGACACATAGTCTTCTCCAAGAGACACATGGAGAAGACTAGAAAGATGATCACGGCTGAAAGGAACCTGAAACATTTTCTCTGGTTTTAGGCTTACCAGCGTGGTCTGCACTGGAGCTGTGCTGGGATGATGTAATGTTTGGTTAAATGGGACTTGTACGCATGTGTGCATGCATGCATAAATATAGAAGGATGCAGGAAGAATATTTATGACTTGTTTCACTATTTTTTCAACCCACTGAAAAACAAACAAGCAGGCAAGATCCTTAATGTAGCTACCCACTCACAGCCAAACAGGTAATAAGACCCCAGAAACAGACTCCTGGGAAGTAAAAGATCATTTCCATATTGATCTAACAAGGGAAATCAAACTTTAACCAGGTTTTCTATAAGCACAGAGTAGAACAATCTAATTATGAAAAGCCCATACTGGTTATGTTATTATTGTTGGTGAGCTGTACAGTGAGCATCATGTGTAAGTCCCAGAGAAACTGGGGCACCGCTGTGCTAGCTTGGTGCCTTACAGACCGACAGGACAGCGCTCACAGCACAAATTCTTAACCTGGACCCCACAAGTAGTACGCGGTCTGCTAGGACAAACTGTTCAGCCCACAGCCCACTCCCAGCCCCTGTCTCACCTGGCACTGCAAACTTTGATCTTGAGCATGCAAAATAAGGACATTTAGGACCAGAATTTAGGTCCCTGGCTTGTCTAGGCCATTTTCTCTAGGTCACAAGTAATGGCAGGTGGTTTGGGGAATGGCCTCTGTAAGGCAGCAGATGTGTCTTCAGCTAAAACACAGCTAAAGTAAAACCTTCCTGCATATGTAGACTCCTTTCTGCTTAAATGGGTAGGTCATGCACTGTATTCTCTCTTTTCACCCCTCCCATTGCAATACAAAGAGATGCGTGCTCAAAGAAAACACTGAGTCATGCAGGTGAGCTACAGTAAACAAGAGAAGACACACAGAAAATAGAGAATTCTCAGAAAAGAAGACAGAAAGGAGTTTTACTTGGATTCTGCCATGATGAGGATATTATCTAGCAGACCTCTACCAGGGGTGGATGTTAAGAATATCATAGTCTGGAAAAATACAGTAAAAAGAGAGGCCGAGCACAAGCAAGGTGGGAACTGAAGGCTGGAGAGCGCAAAACATGTTCCAGCAATTCCTTTGTCTTGCGATGGGAAGCCTGGGCAGCAGTGTTGTGAAAAAGAAGCTCTTTGACTCTTTTGTGACATAAATTGTTTTGCTAGTCTGTTCATTCTGACAGTACATTAATGCATCCCATATGACTGAATGGTCTGGGGCCTTATTTATTATTGCCACCCATCCACTGAAGACTGCTGGTGCCAAGTAATGCTCTCCCCTGGCAGCAGGAGCAGCAGCAGAGCGGCTGCTGGGGTCACTCTTGCAGTTGTTGTCTCAACGCTCCCATTGTATGGCAGGTTGTGATCCATGGGATGATGTATTTGGAGACCCACAGGAAGCCCACAGGCTACACAATTAAGCAGAGAGACATCCTTAGAGCAATTTGCAACAGCATTTAAGACGTACATTTCCCTGCTGGTCCCCCCCTTGCAGCCTAAACCTGCTTGTGCAGAACAGGCTACAGTTTTAAGGTAAATTGTATGACAAACTGAGATGTGTCTGGAGGTGTGAGCCCTCTTCCACAGAACGTAAATACCACGTGCAGTGGAAACAAGGTGCCTTTAACTTTCTTTCTATGTGTTTTGCATCAGCAGTGAACACAGGATTAGGCTGTATCACGAACAGTCCTGAGGAAACAGGTGTTGAGGATAACCAATAACCACGACTCTAACTTGGGTTAAGAGCTTATCATTTGGGTTTATGATAATCTGGGGCATTTTCTTGATGTGTGTGAAATTTCAATCCTTTTTTCTTTTCTATAATTGGGAAGTTCTAATTAACTCGTAACTGGCTTTGCCTTCTATCATTAAAGGCAGGAAGGGAATGAGAACAGTAAAAGGGGAGGAGTGAAAAGTTCTTGCCTGATTTCAACAAAGCAAATTGGCAGATCATGAATGTATTTACACAGCCTTCACTTCTGCAGAGACGTACACATACTGAATGCCAAAAATGCCCATCTATTCCCCAAAATTGGGAATCAGGACTCTTAATATTCCCTGTAGAATGATTTATCTGAGTGCTGGATCCCACAAACATGTACTCTGTGAACTCAAAAAAGTTTGGTGCTCCTGGCTAATAAGAAGAGTACACACTTTTTCTCATTTCTTTATCAATAACATCCTCATTATTGTATGATCTATTTAAATATCCAACCGAGTTCCAACACGTTTTTAACCGCAAGGGTTTCTCCTTTCACCCTCCCCAGTTTAACAGATGGCCAGACTTATTTAGCAATTAAAATCAAGGTTTATTTACCCACCAGAGCAAGGTTAGAGCCAGTGCCATATCATGTAGGCTTAAAGATTTTGCTAATTTACTTTAATCCATTTAAACCTTTAAAGCACAGGTAATGGAAAACAGACAAGAAACCTCTTACACTTTCCAAATGAAGAGAGAACAGTTTCTTCCTCTCCAAAGAAGAGTAAAGCTCTCCAGAAGAACCCTGAAAGGTCAGCAAGGAAGCCTTTGACTGCTTTCTTCCTGGAAACCCTATCTCAAAGGTCACAAAACCACTGCTAAATTGCCTTTAGCAAAGAACCTAACTACAGACACACTGCAAGGTACTTAATTGCCTTTAGCAAAGAATGTAACAAGAGACGCATTGCAAGGCCTTAAGTGGGAACCAAAATCAATATTTCAACATTTAGGAGGAAACCACTTTTAGCAAGGAGATTCAGCAGCTGCTGATGCTGGCATACCGAGCTTAACGCACAAGGCCAGGGTGAATGCAGAAATAATATTAATACCAGCATCATGAGCCAAGTGCCATGTGGGTGCATGGACGGATTGGACAGACAGCAACTTATGGGTACACAGACACTCATGGAAAATCCAACTGAGATAAGAACAAGGGTAATTCCACATGGCAAAGGGACAGTAAAAGGATTGTCCACATTTTTGTGTGGTGCAGCAGGACACTGCAGTACAAAGGCTCCCTCTTACATTCTTAAGACCTTGTCGAGTGTCCAGGTGAAAAACTACTGGCAGAAGTGATAAATACATACAAAAAAAAAAAAAGGCAACAAAAAATGTCAGTCGCTATAATTTTAAATCAATTTACTTCTCTTGCATTCAGATATGTCCAAATTCTCTCTCACCACTTTTTATGGAACTGGATCCAGCCAGCCATGAGAGGTATATAAACACTACTGAATTCATTTAGAAGAAAGGAAACTGAGACACAGTTTCAACACAGCACAAGGTTACTGGGAGACTGCAGCAGAATTGGAAGTGGAGATTCTTAGACCAGTAGTCCCTAAACTGCCTGAATTATGTGACTGCTGTGAAACCTCAGAGTGAAAACCCTGCAAAGCATCAAAGAGGATGTTATTCACCAGCCCACTTGCACTGGCCTGTGGATAGCAGGTGTAAGGAAAAGCACCAATTCAACCATCATCCATAACAACACCAGGAAGGACTTCAAAATGGATCATCCTACTGGAACTTGAAACAGGAATAGAAGCTCTTACCTTCAAAAGCAATTGTGGGATGTTCTTTCCTGACACACTGCTGATGTTCAGCTTCAGAGTATTCAGGTACATTCTGTGATGCTGAGAGATGAAAAGCAAGAAGAAAAAGGCTTGGCAATGACAGGGAAATGGCCTTTAATCTTGAAACAACCATGACTGAAGGGCGGTCGCAGATCTAGCTTCCAAGGTAGGCCCAGGGAGGATACCTGAAACACAAATAATTCTGCTTTCAGAAAGATGAATGCTTATCCACAGTGTGTAACATGGGTAGAGAAGGGTGGAGTTCCCCTTTCATCCCAACCCCACTTGTGCTAAGTACACATGAAAATATCTCAAAAACCAGTAACTAAAAAACAAATGACCCAATTTACGACTGTATTTGGGCTTTTAACTTCAAAGAGAGGTGAAGTGCACAGCTTTCTAAATATTTATATGTGTAGCTTTGGGGCATGTTCCCTCACACAGTACCCAGTGTGCCATGGTTAGCGGTGACAATATGAGCTCACAAATACTCCAGGTGTAACTGTGTCCCCCAGTGGACACCTCGCTCCCCAGCTGCATGACATGTCCATGTTTAAACGTTGTGTTACACTCAAGAAATTGCTAAGGGCACGCCAGAACACATGCAAGTATTGCTGTTCTAACAGGAGATTTATACATTTTACCACTGCTGTTTTAAATGCCTTGAAACAAGAAAAGCCAATTGAAAGGTGTTGCCAGGAAAGTGCTAATTAAGGTGTAACATAAAAATTAAGAGCTTAATAGGGAGAATGGTGAGAAGAGAGTCAATTGCCTGCATTATCGTGGGATGCTAGAGCTCCCAGACACAAGAGCTGAGCCACAGCTAAAGAGGAGGAGCTCTTCTCACCGGCTAGGAGAGGGGCAAATCATGCCTTTTCTACGTGAGCAGTTTTTAACAATAGAAGCTGAAAAGATATAGCTCTAAAAGCTCCCCGGGGTCTACCAGGCCTGAGGCAGGGGACGGAGGATTAATTAGCCCGTGCCACAAGCTCCCCAAGATGCTGTGGCAGCTTAGGAAAATCTGCATTGCCAAATTTAATCCTACTGATGTGCACATTGTGTTTTCCTACGTAACTTTGTTCAATTATTACAAACACGTGTTTTCAAACAAATGGAGTCTTCTATCCTTGAATCTTACCTAGTGATAAAGCTGATTCAGATTAAATTCGCACATAATGAGATTTTCAATTCCCGTGGGTGTAGTGATTCATAAAGGGAGCACAACAGTCACCTCCTGCAGTGCCCAATACCTCTGTATTTTTGGTTGGAGACTCCAAAACACCTTCAGCAAGCTGAAGTGGCCAGACTGGGAGTTAGTAACGTGAGGCACTGATAAGCAATGGCAGGCTCGTGGCATGGAGCGAACTCCAACACAGGGGACAATGCTGTGACATCGAGGAGCTGGAAGAAGTTTGAAAAGGTCCTTGGGCACCACAGGAGCAATAACAGAGTGCTTACAGCAGCGATGGCAGACAGCAGGTTTGAAAGATGGAGCCTATGTTTTATTCTTATCTCTATTGCTCTGTGATTTTAAACACTGGCATAAAGATGAGTTGCCAGTGCATCCATTATGCATATCCCCTGCAGTAGCTGCGTACCACTGACTGAAAATAACACTGGCATTCAGAATTTGGGGGAGTTCTTGGGACTTGGTTTCCTAACTAGTGTGAGTGAGAGATTACAGCATTTCACAATTTTTCCAGACCCATATACATACAGATTTTATGCAGAACTGTATGAAAAGCCCTTCCGTTTCTCCAAAGGAACTTCTGCAGCACTTCACTATGGAGCTGTGCTTTGCTTTTCTTCTTGTTGTTGTTTTTAACACAGCAAATATAATGTTAAATTAAAAAATGGGACTGGCAGAAGTTATAGATGTGAAATCATTCAAAGCTAAAGCCAGCACAGCGTTTAGTCATTAAGCACAAGCATACTGCAGGGCATACACAAATGGGTACTGTGGCATCTCAGATGATGGAGATGTTGTGCAAGTCACGCTGTAATGGAAGTTATTGATGATGAAGCATTGGATTATTTTTTCAGCCATTGTTTTAAATGACAGTTTTTCCAGTAGAGATCCAGAAGTTAAATACAGCACACAGATGTGAACCCCAGGGAGATGCAGTTCTGTAGCTCCACTAATAGTTCCAGAAGAGACAAAGCCAAACCTTCCCTAGATAGGAGATGGTTGTTGTGGGAAATGAATATTGCAAGAGGATTTTTCACTATCAGCTATCCTTGCTGGAAACTGGAAGAGACAGGCACAGAAATCTGACTTTACACGTGCTGTACTCCTCCCAGTGCAGCTGTTATTAGCTAATCCTAGAAATAAGGTACTGACAGACTTTTAATCTGAGCCAATATGGCTGTTTTCATGTACGAAGCATCCAAAAAATGATCTCAAGTCAGGTGAATAAAACTTTTAAATTAGATAACAGTGCTCAAGGACACAGAGCAGAGCTTCCCCACAGTCCTCCAATGCTCCTCCAGGGCCTTGTGTGGTCTAGAATCAGCAGATGAGTAAATTCAAGCCTCGCACTCAACAGGGCCATGAAATGAGAAAAAGTTGCATACAAGAAAGCTTCATAATGTCCCACAGCCTATTCTGTGCCAAAGCGGAGTACATTTACTAGTGTTTTGTCTGGACTAGTTGTAAAATGTGCCAAGGAGCTGGATTTCTGCCACTTTCCCTGGGAGATTTTACCACAGTCCAAGGGACTTCAGCATTCCTTAGAAAGCTGTAACCAGTATTTGGGGTAAAGTTCCATCTTCTTTTTCCTTATTGTCATAGGGAAATCCGAAGTGTGCATGAAAATCATGGTTTTAAACTTGACGAGGAGTGGAAATACATGATCAAAGAAAGATGAAAAATAAACAATATAAAAAGCTTGTATCCCTCCCTTCCTTGGCTACCTCTTTCATCCAATTACATCCATCAAATCTACTAAACAAAATCTGTGCCATGTGCAGCCCTGAACTGGAGTCCGCGGGTAAATTCCAGCTTGATCAAGGGCAAAAGAGATCAGAGCCCTGGAGCATCGGCTGAACAAAATTCAGACAGCAGATAGTATTGCAAACGGTTACTCCTACAATCTGCCCCTTCTCAGGCTGCCTTGGCCATTTTCTTCTGAATATTTTAAGAGAGGCCCTAACTAAGTAACTGCTATTCCCAGCTGCTGCAACTTTATTTCCAAAAAGCCCATACTCACGATATGAAAAAGAGCAGTGTGCAGGAGGAGATCAACTGTAGGCCAAGAGCAAACTAGTGGCTGTCTGGGAGAGTCTGGCAGCTAGCTATGAAGTGTAAATGTTTTAATTCTGCTGGAGATGGCCGGACTCAAGCCTCCCATTTTGCCCCAGCTGCAGATTTTCACTGCGAGGGCTGGAGCAGCCCTCCGCGGCTGGACTGCTGAAGCACCACACGTCCTAAGCGCAGCCCAGGCTCGCCGTGGCTTGTGCTGCTGGAACTTGTCCTGGTGCTAAGCCGTTTAGACACAGTTTAAATGCTATAAAAAGAGCTGTTCTTATTAAAGTCTCTCTGCTCAAAATGGCTTAGGGCTCGAGAAATCAGCTGTCAAGGTTTCAGTACAGATGAGAGACAAGAGCTGAAATCCCTGGTTAAACTCAAATCCCAGGCAGGACGTATCGTTCCCATTCTGTATTCGCTCATTTTGATGTATCTTTACCACCTTGGCTATTTCCCCGCTCCAAAATGCAGACGCATTAAAAAAAAAAAAGGATGAAAACGTCGAGCAAGATTGTCTGTCCAAGTCTTTCTGTCCTCTCCCTCCTGAAAGCCGGTGGTGGAGGCCCCAAGACCTTGGGCTGGGGCCTCTCTCCCCCTCTCCTGCCATGAACACTGAATCCCTCTGGCCCTCTGCCAGGAAGGTCAACAAATTCAGGCCCTGCTGGATGCCGTGAAACATGCTCCAGAGAGAGGCATTTTGTAGAGTACTGCTTCTGCCACCGTCCTCTTGTCTCCTAAATCAGGCACAGGCCGGGCCGAGGGCTGCTCCTCCTAGGGGCCGCAGGAGGTCTGCAGGCCCAGTGTGTCACCACAGATGGGAGATGTGCAGCCCTGATGATCCTGCGAGCACAGACCCACTGGCACGTGTCCCCTTCTCCCGGCAGCCTGGCAGGGACAGCCTGCATCCTGCTAGGCCTCGTGGCTTCGCCCCCTGCCCAAGCAGGGTGCTGGGAGCTCGCCCGCGGTCCCCCCGTGTTTGATTTTGGGGCGAGAGGCTTCTCCGGCTCCCCCGGTATTGTAGGATTGCAACTCCATCGATTTGGCAGGAACTAATCCTGATTTACAGAGGGTAACTCAGATCAGGCCCCCTTTGACTAAAGCTCCGTGTCGAAAAGAAAAATACCTTCAATCAATCTTCAAGGCTTTAAAACAAAGCGCACTTTAAAAATGGCTGTACCAGGAATCCATATCCTGCTTTCCTCTGACTGTAACTATCATTTTGACTTAATAAAACGTGACAGTAAAGTTTAAGGATAAAAGAAAATGCTTCATCTTTCATTTTAAAGAAAAGAGATGCCTTTAAGAAAGGCTAAAAAAGGAACCTCCTGAAAAAGCATTAATTCTCCCGCTCAGGATCTTTTGTCATTGGCACAGTTATGATTTTATTAGAATGGGATACCAGAGAGAAGAAGAGCAGAGGCAAGAGCCGAACACTGAAGTATTCAAAACAGCACTGGCAGAATTAAGGAAATAAATACAAACATTTTAGAGCACGGCAGCTCAGCAATGCGGCTACGACAGGCTGGCACAGGCGGCTCTGTCCTAAAAAAGAGAACTGCGAGGCCAGCAAAACCTCGGCCCTTGTCCCTGCGCCGCTCCGTGCCCTCCCCTCCGTCAGGAATTCCTGCCTTGGGCTGGCTCGAGGGCTGGGCACACTGCCTTTCCTCTGGCCCTGGCCGTGTCACTAGGCTCAGCCTCTAGTGCCTGTGCTGGGGTCATGGAGCGGCCTCGCTATACTGAGCCTTGCCCGTTCGTTTATTTTTGAGGCAAACACACGGGAGCTGGGTTTTGTCATGCTGTCCCGCGCCCCATGCTCAGGGATTCCCACAACAGCATGCAAGAGCCTCACGCTGAAACTGCTCTCGCAACGCCCCAGGAAGAGCGTACCACATTTTCATGCATCTAATCCAAGGGTTATCTTTTAAAGAAACCCTACAG